ATTGCAGATTAGTTTCATGTGATTTTTTTTATTTTTCTTCTTGCAAAGAGGCATTAATATTCTTGAGGAATATGTTCTTGCATCAGATAAATTGGAAGTACTGAGATTTTCATTCTTTAACACTACTCTGTGACTGAATGAACTCAAATCATATTTTTATTACCAATCCAATCATACTCAGTGAGCCTTTCATTTGTCCTGTTGGTGCAGGATTAACTTGTACAACATTTTCCGGATCAACAAAACTTTTTAAAATTAAACGACAATAATTCTCTATCTGTAGTGCCCTCAACTCCTACTTTTAACATAGTTTGCATTCAAATTGCTAGCTTCCTACACCGTAATACTCAACTAGACCAACAGCTTACATGATAAATTAGTGTGGCAGAGGAGACGATGCAAATACTTAAATCCCTCCACGCCACGTTTTTTCATTAGATAGATATCCTTCTACTGGTAAATCTCTTAATAAGTTCTTTAGGGCTTCTAATGCAACTAGCTATCTTATCTGATATCAAGTTATTAAATCCATCGGTACCCCAATTTTAGAACTATCCTTTTAAGTTGCTTTGGTTTCACCCTTACGGTTCCATTCTCATGTTCTATAACTATGTTATTTCTTTACCAACGATTAATAACTTATCAGTCATCACCAACTTATGTTGCATCATTTGATTCCCACCGATGATGGAGCTGCATTCTACATGATGCATTTGAAACGAATTTTCCAGCAAAGGAATGTACACTTCATATGATATACCAGTATCTATATCCCACGAGAGTATACATTGTTGCTTACTTTTTAACATATTTGAACACGAAAGTGTCATTTCATTCATGGGTTACTCCCTAGCTAACCCATGCACATTTCATGAGACCTATTCATTTACTAGGACATGAGACCAACTAAAGAAACACGAACAAAGTTGGACATGAGACCAACCAAAGGAACACGAACAAAGTTGTTTAAGTTGTCTAATGGTCTTAAACTTGATTATTGGATTGGCTAAGGTTAATATCAATTTTTTTCTTTTTCAAGTTTAATAAATTCAGATCATTCGCGTGTTAAGAGGCACGCCTTGTATGAGGCATTCATTATTGTCATCGAAGCTTAAGATTTAGGTTCTCCTT